ATCCAAAAGTCTAACTGTGACTTTGCGGTAGTGGACAAGAGCAAGTGGGAGAAGTCCCTGCAATAATGGTTATTTATGTTAAATTCTGAACAAATCCTCATTTGATTATAGATTATATGAAGCCATCATGCATTTTCAAACATCCAATTTTTTAGTTGGAATGCTCTTAGTAAGATTAGTAAAATCCCTCATCTATATGTAATACCATGGTAAACAATAAAGCCAACAAATTCATGATCAGTCTGTTATGCAAAATCACACGGACATACCATGTGAATGATCACACTTTAGCTAATATAATCAATAACCTAGGTAGCAAAGTGGAAAAAAAGTCTTGCAGAAGAGATACCTGTTCTAAGGAGTAGCCAAATTCTCCAATCTGTTGAATCCATTTCCTAGGCACAATGGACAATAATTGGTAAATGGTTTCATTGTTAAAATGAACTATCATGCCTTTTCCACAACTACAACATGCAATAAAGGCCTAAAATACTTTGAGTTGAGAGATAGATATAATAGGGCTTCAGTTTGACTCCACAGGAGGCACATGTATATTACCCCTTCAAGCTCTATCACTAAATATACAAAACCACCACTTAAGATCTCAGGGAAAAGCAAAATCTGGCTTTCATAGCAGTTCACACCTTCGTGGCTATTAGTAGAAATCAGAATATCCCAAACTGTAAAGGAACAATAGTTTGTGCATTTTTGAAGTGGCTCCAGTACTCATTTTTCACTAATTTTGTGAGCCTTGTAGCAATTACCTTTTGCTTTTTCTTATAATGGGTAGATGTACTTGTTGTACCTATAATTTTGATGATTACAAAACACATTTGAGTGACTAATTGGTTTATTTAAGTGTGTAGTTAAGTTGCTAAAAGATTGCAAGTAAACTTGGATTGCACTAAAAATAAACCAAAAAGGATTCAAATGTGCAGAGAGCCGGCTCTGAAAGCTGCAGCCGGCTCTACAGGCAAAAAAAATTGAAGACCGTTGTTTGGCCCGCGCGAAGAAAAGACGCAAAGCCGGCTTCAACTTTGCAGCCGACTGTAAGGATGCATTTAATGCACAACGGTCGAATCATTTGAAGTTTATCAAGGTATTTAAAGTCGGAGTTGCAAAGCCGGCTCAAAGTTTTGCAGCCGGCTCTCGAGAAAAACAGAATGGTCTGCAAGCCCGGATAGTCAACTCTAAGAGTGTAAGCCGGCTCTGCAGAGCCGGCTCTCCTGACAAGCCTGCAGCTCGAGCTTTGTGTCCTGCAGTGCATTTAATGACCTCCAACGACTAGTAACGGCTATTTTCGAGCAAGGGGTATAAATATGGTTGGTAACAGATCTGAAGAAGGTTAGAGAACATTACATTGAATATCTTTACCTACCTACTTGAGCTTTAACTTGTGTTTTTGATTTTTGAGTGATCATTGCTTGTAATCCTCTTCTTATGCTTTTAGTGAGTGATCTTGGGGGTGTGCTGATTCCTTCAAGAGTGATCTATTGAGAGGATTCGTGGGGTTTACATTGTAAAGGAGTGAGGTTTGAGAGAAATACTCATCTTGTTGTAAAAGGATTGAGTGGCTCCTTTAAGCCACCCTTGTCTTTCTTAGTGAAGAGTGTGGAGGAAATCCTTGGTGAGTGAAACCAAGGTAGAGGATTAAGCTCCAAGTGGTTGGACCGAACCTCTATAAATTCATTGTGCAAGCTCTTCTTCTCTACTCTCTTTAATCTTGATTTTGTGGTTGAAAAGGGGAGAATTTTTGGAACTCCAATTCACCCCCCTCTTGGAGTACATTGAGTCAACAGTACTATGTCCCAAACAGACATATTGTGCCAGTCATAAGCAGATCCAAGAATCTAGCAAAAAAGGATACCGTTATGAAGGCATATCCTTACAACATTAAAACATTAAACGTATGTCATGAGCAGAGATGCTAAATCATCGTATACAGAAATGGATTTTTACATGCTTAGTTGCACTATAACATTACAAAGGTAATATCAAACATATTCTCATCAAGACTTGAGAGAGGATAGATTTTCTTTCAACTTCCTAAAGTTCAAGAGACATAGAGTAGAAAAAAGTACCACTTGACTACCTTTTACATCATTTATTCAATTTGGCATGCCTATATGCCTATTTCATCCAAACGTTCTACTACACAATAGAAAATTCTAAGAGGTGAATTATTTAAATGCATCTCTGGATGTCCTCCACCGACAGACCGGAATTATAGTGCCACTAGCTAATATGTACCGCAAGAGCTGAAAGCAAACATCTCAAGTCCAGGGAAGCATAAGAATCAACAACCAAATGATAGTGGTCAGAGAAATGTGAATGACAACCTGCATTTTTGTTGAACCTCTAGCACAAGGACTATTTAGATTGTGAAACTAATTAAATAGAGAAAAATGAAGCTAATCTATCAATTACTTTAATCTTTAAGTTTATGAATAGTCCATGAAATTCCACAAAAGATGGTGAAAGAAACCTTAATATTTAGACATAAGTTACATGAAACATTTCAGTAGCCAAAGAGGTCAATCTGATATGTCGGTTTGATTCAAAAATTCCAAACAAAAATGAAGAGAGAGAATGTCGTCATCTCTTTTATCAATTATCACTTCCTCAAGCAATGTCCATTTTACCTATGACTTCTGCCTAAAACATTCTCAGATATTATATTTCATTGTAAGAAGCGACTTCATCAAATCAAAAGGAAAGAAAAGGGTAGGAAAGGCTTCCAAATATTAGGAAAACAAAAACAATGCACTCAATTAAAGATCAATAAACAAAAGTTTTAAACATCATATAATAGGTTGTGGCTTTAAATGCAAAAATAGTACTGCAGGATTCTTCTTAATTCTAGTACCTAAGCAGATATCCATAATATCCTTAACTTCTTTAAGATGGCCCATAGTTTATGGCAATAATTTTCAATCATGAAATATTATAAGCAAGATAGTGATGCCCACATAAACAAGATTATTGAAAGTAGAACCATAAAGAATGGGTCATCATATAACCAAAAAAAAAAAAAAAAAATCACGAAACCATTATTCCATTTTCAATTCAGCAGGGGTTTAGTAAGGCATATGATCACCCACGCACATCATCTAATCAAAAACATTAGACATACATAGACGCACTCATTAAAGAGCTAAGAAATAACAACACAACACAAATGACAAGAAAAGATGACTGTTTGCATTACTATTTCCATTCCAAGAAAATGAAGCCAAAAACATGAATTATGTCCACCAAATATCAGTATCATATATGAACAGAAACACTAAGCAGCTCAAGAAAACCGACTGCCTTCACTTTAACTGCCTTCAATTTGGCGACATAAACCTTTCTCAACCCTCTCATTCTCTGGCTACCGACACCAATTGGGCAATTAAAATCATCCGCACTCGCCCAATTCCCAATCTCCTCACTCAACCTGTAGCCTCCAAATCATCCTCAATAACCCAATCTAGGTCTGAGTCAGCAGATTCTGCTTTCGTTTATCTTCTTCCGTGGTAGTACACAAAAACGACATCGGTTTCGGTAATGGCACAAGTTAGATGACGAAAATTTCGAAAAATATGTAAATAAAGGTGTCAATTTTGTATTTTTTTTATTTAAAAATGTTAATTTTGTTAATTTTTAAATAAATATGTTAATTTTTAATTTTTTTAAATAAAGATATTAATTTTTATTTTTTTATTTAAAAATATCAATTTTTAATTTTTTTTTCTATTTAAGGATTAATTGGGTATTTGAATTGGTCCCTAAACTTTTATTTTTGGATCAATTCATCCTTAGACTTTAAAAAGTATTGAAAATATCCTTCAACTTCAACTTTTAGCACTAATTTCGTCTTTCTGTTGGTTAAATATTGATTTAATTAATTTTTTCACTAAGTGATTGATTATTTTACATTTTCAATATTAGGTAAAAAATCTATCATGTAAAAGATAATTATGTGGATTTTTTTAATTTTAAATAATTTAAAAATTACTTTAATTCTTAATTTTACTTTATTTATATTT